TCGTCTGACTATGTTGGCATGTCTTAATAAGGGCTTCACTGTAGCTGCTCTGCAATGATAACCCAATCTGTGGAGAATCCGTTGAAGAGATTTCGGGCTCATCCCACCAACTTTGGCCACTTCCGCTGTCGTTAATCTGGGATCCATTTCGATGCTCCTCTTGACAGCCCTTTTTGTCCTCTCGGATGGACCCGGACGCTGCTCAGTTGTTTCCTTGCCGTGTTTCCTGAACTGCACGATGATTCTATTGACTGTCGAAAGCGGGATTCCCAAATTCTGCGAAATTTGCCGCTGACTTATTCCACCATCTGCTTGACCAACTAACCTTCCTCTAACAAAATCTCACAATTCGAGAGAACCTTGAGTTCTAGGCATGTTGTAGCACCAGATAATTAGTGTGCGGAACATTTTCATTTACATAGTGCTCTGTGAACACAAATTAGTTAGCATAAATCAGTTAAATGACGAAAAATTAGGTGTCTATTTAATTGTGACCACTCAGTGTATTTGAGACTTTTTGTTGTTAGTTTTTATTTCATAAACTATGAGGTGAGGGGGAGGTAATATAAGAGTATTGATTAAAATGTCTATTTTTTGTACAAGAGTTTTGATATGGGATTTGAATTGAGAAACTGTGCTAACAGACTAATTATATAAGATACCATAGTGATGAATATATATTCTTTTTATCATACTTTTCATCACTTATACTGTTATGACATTAAGTACATACGATATAGATTGATATAGAGCATAGGTTTTAATGAATGTATTATCTATGTTCTTTGTGTGTGTGTGTATTTGTAGAGAGGATAGTAATGACCCCCACAAGAAGAGGTCATGGTCACACCCGGATTAAGATAGAAAGAGTGCAGCAGACCGACGTAAATAATAGCTCTGTGATGCACGTGGCTGGAGGGGATCACAAGGGGATTGTTATCAACAAGGAAGAGTCATCAGGTGAAGCTTTATCTAACTTCTTCACAAAATTTTGCTTTAAATTTAACGCACGGCGTAACTGTGATTTATTTCTTCTCCTCTTTTAAAATGAGAAAAGTTTTTGTTTACGAAATTATATGATTATTTTTATTTTCTCAAATTGTTACAGTGTTGTTGTTGTTTTTGTACACTTTGGGTAATGCTTAAATAATTAACATGAAATGAATTTAGAGAGAGTTTTGGACCAATTTTTTCTAACGTGCTTTGTTTATTAGCACTAGAGTGTGCTGAATTTCTTTTACAAAAACATATTGTATTTCTTTTTGTATGTAGGAGTTTCTTCAGAATGTGGAATGTTAAATTGCCATTAAGTGATAAATTTAATTTGATACTACTGAATTTAAATATAGCATCCATTCTAAGCTCAACTTTCAATAATTTTACAAAACCTTATGTATATAAGGTTTAGTAAAACAAAATAAAAAAAAACAAGTTTTGTGTCCGGAATATTCGAAAAAAGGAAGGAGTTCCTTTTTTTAATTACCTTTTTGAAAGAAAGTTTGCACCTTTTTTCACAATTGTTGCCTCTTTTCAAAGAGTCCATGTCAAACAGAAGTCTTCTTTGTTTAATTTTTTTCATAAAGACGATACAGAATTTACGACAAATAAAGAAAAAGAACAAAATGAATCACCTATGTTAATCTCATGTTTTATCCAGAAGTCTTCTTTGTTTCTTTGTACGATCGAAAAACGACAATCAAAAAGGAAAAAAAAAAATCGCCCAAAAAAGTGGGGAAGGCTGCTTCAAAAAGGAAGCGGGCGGGGACGTTAAATATATATATATTTTACTTGGCCTAATGTTTTCTCCTCCCCAAAAAATTTATGAAATCAAAAGTCTATTTCTTGTATAGAGAGAATGATTTTAAGTCTGTACCTTCTTTCTCTAAAGTCTGAGGTAAAATGAGACCCCAGTACTTACAAGAAAGTGTGGAACATTTTGTTACATAATTGCCATAAAACTGACTAAATAATCAAATATTATATATCTCTGCAGGTGACGATGATCAGTCCTGTGCACAGCTCACTTTGGAGTTCAAAGTTTTTTTGACCAACGCAGCAAACAATACACACACTCAGGTATTGTGCATGTTAATTTACTATTATATTAGTGTTATTAATTGTCAAAAACTACTTTTAAGTAATATATATAGTAATGTAAATATATGGGTGTATGGACTTAGGAATCTTCTACGGTAGGTGTCTGTGACTTGTTGGCGATAATTTCGAACAATAAACAAACAGCATGCACTCTGCTTGTTTTAAAATAATATATATATTCAAAACAAGTTAAACGTATGGTGTGTGTGTGTGTGTATGTGTTAGAGGACACTATGGGGACTGTGGGATGCCTTACAAATAGGGTATAAATCCATAAGAAGAAAACAGATCCTCTTTTATTCATATTCATTTGGTCTTATAAAAATTTTTACAATCTAAAACTAAACAGTGAATCATTACATATTTACATTTAATAGCATGAAAATTATTTTTTTACTATGATGACTGTACTTTTTGAAGTAAAGAATTACCTTTAATTGTCTTAAATGCTTGATTTTTCTGACTTGAAGCATGACTTATAGTAATGATTCCCATCACTTTAGTTATTACAATTTCATAAACTAAGCAATCCCTTAACATTAAGCTTTAAAATACTGATGTTAATACTTAAGTTATGTTGAATTTCAAAATGTGACAAAGATAGTACTTCTAATTTAAGTTTTGTGAATATCACAAAGTTGTTAGCTAATGTAATAACAAACTTTAGAATAGAGCAGGTCAGCAAATACCCTAGTGTGTGTATTGTCAGTAGTACTGGAAGTTAAGGAGGTGGCATTAATTTTTATTTTTTTAGAGTAATTTGTAGGGATAGCATTGAAGAACAGTAATGTGCAGAGGGCATTAACAACAAAAAAAGGAGTCACTTTTCAAGCACTGTAAGGCGTTTTTTTCTGGGAGGGTTTTTTTTATTTCTAGAGATAAATCATGTTCAAAATTTCATAAAAATATTCTTTATATACGATTTATATAACGAAAAATATTTTTTGTAAAATTAAACTTACATGAATTAAAACATTTGATTGTAGAATACGGCTTTTTGTGTACACAGAATCGTTTAAATTAAAAGTGGTCCTCAGGTTACTAAATTTGGGAATTATATTATTATATTATATAGTCATAGAGAAGTGTGTATTAGAAAACTCTAAAAATATGAAACAGAAGGTATATGTTACATGAATAGAAGGTGTAATATCTAAATGAAAGCATGAATACAATCTTGAGTTTTTCTTTCAAAACAATGGTTTTATAACTATTACTTATTAACAGGAAAGCCGTCAACTAAAGTTTTGGTTTAAATGTGAAGTGTCGGAGCCTGACCAGATGCGAAGTGCTCAGGACTTTTTCAAAGAACTTGTAAGCCCTATTGAATTTCCAAGAGGTAAGTGTTCATAATTACATCAAGAAAAAATGACAGTAGATTCTAGAAAAGCTTGATTTTGTCTATAATCAACATTTTGGTGTACACCTTTACTGATGCTAGTATCTATTGCAGCAAAGACATAACACTAAGTATTCAAGATGCCAACAGAACACAGGTCCTCAAGGCCAGCAACATTGTCCATACATCACATCAGATCAACTGTTGAGCGATGAAAATACACAAATGTGGTCACCATTAATTAGATGCTAATATAATGCATCAGGACATTAAAAAGTCTGGGGTCCTTTGCTAATGCTAGTGTTCTGAAACCAATGCTCTTTAACCTGAGCTACCAGAATTGGGACTTAATTGTGTAGAATTCTTATAATGGTGAAAATGCGGAGAAGGGAGGTGGACGTAGGATGGTAAAACATGTCACAATGGCCGTGTAAGTTACTCTATATAAAGGTTTGTGTAATTTTCAAGTTTTATGTACAATGACTTTATTAACTTGTATGCCATATAGTGTATTTCCTAATTGTTAGATAAAAACAGTGCAGTGCTTATAAACCATTTGTATCTCTTACTGTATCCAAAAATGTTACACTAAACTAGTTGCTAATATTTTAATAACTATTGATTGCACTAATGCATTTAACACATTTTTAATAAATGTGATATTTGATTTACAGATTATGTGGGTTTCATCAAGGGAATCATGAAGCTAATGCAATTGAAATACCAAAATATCAGGAAGATTGAAGTGGAAATGAGGCAGATTGAAGAGATGGCAGAGCCTCCAGCTAGGCCTAGTAAGTGTACTGTATGTGAAAATAAAAGATATTGCTGTGGTGTAATTTTCTATCCAATATTGAAATTGTTATTAAATATTTAAAAATAATGTTACCAGACCTTATTGAAACTTTTTATAGGTATGGTTGAGTACGTTATATTAAAATGATTTGGAATAAGTAAATCAGTATGTTATGTGACAACCACAGAAAATATATAGTTGCAATGGAACAGAATATATAAGAACTACATTTTAACATTGTTTGGCATATCATAGGTAGTTTGATTCCTCTGAAATTTTATCACTTTTGGGAAGGTATTTAACAACCCTTCTGATATAAGATATTCATACCTCATACCATAAAGATTGTTCAAATTGTGGATTTAAAATTTACAATACAGAAATATCCTTTGTACCTAATGGCATTGAAAAACAAAGGAATATAAATTAACTTGAGGCACGAGGACCATCCAGAAATAGATCTGCAACAAGTCATACCCCCGGCCATGGTAAGTTTAATGTAGTATCTTGTAAAAAGTTAAGATCAGCATAGACCAAGATAAGATTTCTAGTTATACCTACCTGTCAACCATTGTACAACTCAAGCAGCTGGAGAATGAAAAGGATATTCCTCTTATCCCATATGAGAACATACTGATCAAGTTGCGAGACACAGCACTTATGGATTTCTGTTAGATCATATTTAAAATTGGCAATGGGAAATCATCATTTTCGTAAACTAGATGAGATACTGAGAGCCTGCAGGGAAGGGAGGAGTGCATACTTTGGTTATGACAACCTTAGGTTAAAACCTTTTGCAATAGAAAATGCTCTGCAGGGCTATTGTTAAGATACATAATCATCCTATAAAGCATGACTGGTGTTATGGATTGTAATCAAGTGGCGAAGTTACAAAGTCATTTTAATATAACCTACTCAACCTCTTTATTTGACAGCAAAGTTTGCTTTGTCTTGTGTATTAAGTACAAGTAAGCTGCAGTGTTAAATGATCAAGTTCCAATTATGTAAAAGTATAGAAAATATGTATTAATAACTGTTTAAGCTAAAGATATTTCTATATACCCTTTACAAATTGTATATGTGGTTTACACAAGTATTGTAAAAGCAGACCGTGTTGAATGTAAATGTGTAAACATCAAATGCTTAATCTGGCAAAGCATGATCCACTAGTTATTACTAAGTGGTAAAACTGCATTGCAGTAAGATTGATAATAACTTTGATTACATTCTTCTTTACCAAGTCAATAAGAAGTGTGAGTGCTTTAATAACATTTCAACTACACTTAATTTATTACATTCCACTGTCTACTAGGCCTTTTTCACTATATTCCTACCAAACAAAAAAAATGTATTAAAACACTTGTTTCAAAGAAGAATATTTTTCGAACTTCTAAAAACAAAAAATGCAAATGATTTTTAAATTTAATTTAAATATTCATACTTTGAATTTGATTTAGCGTCTAGAAATTATCAGCTTCTCAAGTTCCCAAACTATTAGGTGGTCAAGAAATTAATGTTACTTTTTTTTAGATGAAAAAACTCAAACAACTTATACATCAAAACAAAACATTTATTAAATGAAATAGTCTCAATTCTTATCAATGATGCTTTTCCATCTCACAATCAGGTTGTTAATGTCCTGACTAAAGAAATCACTTGGCTTTGAAGCAAAAACATGTCAATGTCCTCTTTAATATCTTCCATATTTGCATACGTTTTTCCATTAAGATGGTGTCGCAGCAAACAAAAAAGATGGTAATCTGATGATGCCATATCTGGAGAATATGGTGGGTGGGGGAGAACTTCCCAACCCAACTCCATAATCTTGTTTTGCGTTAAACATGCCACATGTGGACGTGCATTGTCGTGGAGAAGAAGAAGAACGCCTTTCCGATTGATGAGTGAAGGGCATTTCTAATGAAGGGCTTGAATTAAACATTCCAGTTGCTGACTATATATCTCTGCATTGACATTTTGCTGTTGAATGAGGAGTTCGAAATGAATTACTCATTTGATGTCCCACAAAATGCAAAGCATCACTTTCTGTGAATGGAATCCAGGTTTTTGAGTCATAAGTGGTTTTTGTCCAGGACTGAGCCATTGTTTTAGGTTTTTAATATTTGCATAGAGAATTCTGTTCAAAAATGAATTCTTGCATATTACATGCCAGAAGAGATGAAGCAATGTTCACACACTGGAAACGATGATCATCGGAGAGTTCATAAGGCAAACACCTTCTTTATGGAGTTTCCCATATTCCTTAGATGTTTACTTATTGTTTCATAAGAGACATGCAATTTCAGGGCCATTTCACGAATGTGTTGCCTTGGGATAGACTCAACAAGCATCTTTATTCCAATCATGCTTTTTTCCCAAAAAGGTTTGTGGTGCGAGAGGGAAACAGTATGTTCACATCTATTTTCCTTCCATCCATTGATCTACTTTATTCTGGGTCCCATCAAGATCTTCTTCTTTGTTCAGTGTGGACTCTTTGTTGTTATTCACCAGCACAGTTCTTTTTCATGATTCCTGTTCCTGGCTTTTTATCCCTTGGAACTCTTCGAGATTTCTCTCTTGTTACTCTTACTGTCTGGCTCTGTCAACTCGTTTGTCTGGCTTATACTCTGTTAATCAAAGCTTCTTGTTCCATCTTCCGAGGTTCTTCTCACCAAATCCATCATTTCTCTCTTTCTCTGGTTGATCAATTCCATTGTCCATTTGAGAAGGTCGTGCAAGTTGGCATATCGATTACATCTCACACTTTTGTTGCACATTACCTGCATCACTTGGCCATCTCTTCCTCATCTGGATATTACTTGCTGCCCATCATAATTCTCCATATCTCGTACAGCCTCTGAATAGGTAAGTTCTATTTTTTATCTTTTACCTATACAATGGCCTCTTTCTACATACCTGAGTGTTGCTTCTCTGGGTATACTGAACATTAAATATGCACTGTGAGACCCTTAGAGTCTATAACACTCAATGGTGAGATGGAGTGTTCCACAAGACCACTCAAGGGATTCTTGTGGTAAGTTGCTTCGTAAATAAGGTCTTTTCCACACCATATCAACTCATGGACTATCATGAGTAAAGCAGTGTCGGGATTACTGCCTATCCCTTCAGTTCAAGTTAAATAAACTTGGACCAGCCTGTTTTCTAAATAGGGTTTTCATGGTCACCCATTGCATAATCTTAAGAATTTGTGTTTCTCCGGACTCCCAACCCCATATTTGCTCCCTCTTCTAGTGGAGTAAGGGAGTCCTTGCCACTTACCAGTTTCTTGCTGCTGAGGTGGTGGACTATGAAGGCTTCCTCCTATATGTGACCAATTCCACTCAGTCAAGAGTAATGCTGTGGTGTTCTGTTGGTTTATATTATGAGTCATCTCCTCCTACCACAGACTGGAAGACTAATACCCCTCATGCAGTTTACCCCTCCAACTGGCTTTCCCTCATCCTATTGCTGCCTGTTTGCCAATTCTTGGGCAGTCTGGTGCTGGATCAGCCATTTTAAGTCCTCACATATGTGATTGGTAGAGACCCTTCTCCTACTGTGGACTAGATAAATAATTCCTGAGTGTGATAACCTAAAATATATTGCTTTTCCCTTCTGTTTCCTGGTCTTGAGGTGAATATGGTTGGGACCCCTTCTTCTACTGCAGACTGGAAGCCACATGTCTGATGCCTCCTGGTTTTGGACTGGAGTTGACCCACTGAGTATGGTCTGACATGCTCTAGCCACTCTGCACTGGTGTTTCCATTTACAAATTAGGACTTGTTTGTTTTCTGCCTGGCTTAGCAACACCTATTTTACTGCAGGCAAAGTATACCCTGGTACAGATGAAGTGCGGGCATCCATAGGTGTGACCCTGTATTTTAGGGTATCATTCTACATGATTTCTCTTTGGAGACCTTCTGTAGAATGCTTATCTAGGTTACTTTGCACCAGTCGTTCCACCATTTCAATGTGGGGTTCTAGCTATTAGATGAGTGGAGATAAGGTATGGTATCGGAAGTTAACAATTTTCCAACACTGAAAATGTGTTTCTGATAGATACTCATCTCTACTTACACTTTCCACCTGTCCTCCCCACTTTTTTCTTGTCTAATCTCAAGAGAGTCGGCTGTGCTAGGAGAGTGTGTCGCACTCCTAATGGTGGAGGGTTGTCCCATGCTCACTTGCATGCTACAACACAGCTACACCATGTGTAAACACGTGAAGTTGAGTGGTTGCCTCAAAAGAAAATTGCACATATAGAGGGCAGCACAAATCGAGGTAAGTATCTATCGAAAATACATGTTCGGTGTTGGAAAATGTTAACTTTTTCTGCATTGTCAGAATGCTGGAACATAATTTTGTGATGATGTTTTATTTCTTACTTTGTCCTAGGCGTACCAATAGTACTCTGAATTGTTCTACCTAAATAATTTCACTAGATTGGTCAGGCTTTTCTCTTTTCTACTTTTATCATTCCAGCTTTAGGCATATAATTGTGTTTTATTAATCTACTGAATCCATTAAATGAAGTTGATATATTTTTAAAATGTATTAATTAGCTGGTGGGGAGGGGAGGAGGAAATTAGTGTTTTGAAATTTATAAATGAACTGCTTAATTAAATCAAATAAGAAGGGACTAGGGTAAATAAATCTCGTACATGAAGCAACCCCTATAAACTTTAATAAATTTGACTTTTGTATTGGAACAACACCAAGAAAAATTATGAAAAATGATAGAGTTATTATGAGCAGAAAATATGTTGAGACTGCTTCAAGAAAAGTAAGTTAATACTTTGTAGAGATCGACCACATAGTCAACTTAGACAGCATTTGATTCAGAGCTAAAATAAATTACACTGTGTAACATGAACAATAAGATAAATGGTTGCATTAGTTTCATATGATTTCAAAGGATGTAAGAAGCATTTTAAATTTGTGTGATATATCCAGGTAAAACTGAATTAACTTTAGAGCATTGTGATAGGTCCATTTAATAACAAAAGATTGAATCAAGATACCAATTACGAAGTAATGCTATATCTCTGAGAAACTGAGTCATGAAAATGGATGAAATAAGGAGACTGGACACAAGATGAAACACAGAAATGAATAATCTTTATTATAATAGACTTAACACCAACATAGTGTGTGTTTATGTACTTGCTTTTGGCATAGGACAGTTGCTCTTACTGGATCTTCTACATTTAAATCCTTAGACTAAATCCATGTGCCAGATTGATTAAAACCAATGTTTTTTAGTTTGCATGAAAAAAACCCAGCATACTTACCCAGAGCAGTTAGTGCTACCTACATGAGTGGTCATTCTCATCCAAACATAGGTGAGGCTATAACCTCGAAGCATCACCTAATATACATTTGATGATCACTGGCACAATATGCAGTATTGCAGTAATATCAACCATGGACAGAACAAGTATTATCTACTTGAAAATAACTATGGAACAAACTTTACAAAAGCAGGTAGAACGAAATCAATTTAACAGCTTTCTTGACCACTTGTTGTGTGAACCTGCACATGTACAGAATGAACTATAATTTTAGAATAAATGTTATGATACTAAAAGAAGCTAAAAATACATGGTATATTTATATACAACACATTTGCAGTAATAGCTTAAAAGGGTTAGAAATTGTGTACTGTTTGATTCTTGCACTGTTTACGTCATGTGCATAATACATTTCATTTTTAAAATTAGTAAAAAGTAATTCTTTTTTCACTTGCACATTAAATAAAAAAGCTACATAATAAGATATTTTATTTTTTAAGAAATATTGAAAATTCTTGTTCAAAAGAAAGTGTTGAAATGTGTTCAATATTTATCTTTATTCAATTTTTTTTTCAATTTTTGACTTGGCTACTAAAAAGTATATCTCGAATCTTGCAGTTTTTATTATTTCCAACATATAGGCTTAGAAAATGTTTGATGACAAGCCCATGTGCTTTAGTGGTTATATCTTAAGAAAGGTGAAAGTTATAAGAACAGCAGCATTTCTATAATGGTTTGATAATTATCTTTGTCAGTTTACTGCTTGGCAGCTGAACAATCTAGTTATGCTATATACGTATTTTTGTAAGTTGTAGTAATAAAAACATTATGGTATGAGCATCATAAAAAAATTATGAAGAACTTGAAAAATAGTTTATTAAATATGTACATTACATAAGAAACCATTTGACCAGAAGAGGGTAATTATATCTTATCAACAAATTCTTCAAAGAGAATTGGTATTGCTTGTGACATTTTTCTAAGAAACAAAAAATCCAATGTACCTTTATTCTTTAGCTCTTCCCAATGGCATATTGCTGACTATTGGCTCTCAGAAAGCCAAACTGGATGTGTTGGAGAACACAAAAGGAACAACCACTCAGTCTTCATCCAGTCATAAAGGTTTCATTCATTTGATTTCTTCACAGTGTGTGCTACCTAACCTGCTACTCCAGTACACAAACTGCATGATTAGATTATGGATATTACTGACTCATACTACAGGAATCTTAGAAGTCCATGCAGGCTTTGAACAAGTGTATTCACAACTAAATGTGGTGTGAGATTTCAGGAAGTTGCAGTCATTACCTATTTTTCACAATATACTTCTAAAAGAAAATAATAAATTTTATTTTGTAAGAAAGAAATATTTTTAATGAAGTAGACAAATTACTGTCTTATATTAAGTTTCAGGCATTTATACATATTGTTGCGTATCTGCTTGTTTGTTAATTTCCCGTAG